GGGCCAGGGCATGTTCCTGACACGTTACCAAAACCCAGTGGCCCCCCCCTCCCTGGCAGAGCAGCCATGCTGGAGCATCCCACACTTCCATGAAGGAATGCAGGCGGCAAATCTCAGGTCTGCTTCCCCACACAGGGAGCCAGAAGGGTGGTTTCAGCACTGCTGGGCAGCAGGACCTGCTGCCCTGTGGGATGGTGCCTGGCTTCGGTGCGGAAGGTCTGTGACGACAGTCTGTGTCAGCAGCTTCACCAACCAGAAGAGGAACAGCCGCGTACTGGGAGTTGTCTTAGTCCCTGCTGGGAAGGGGGGGGCATATGTGTGCTTTGTGCATGGTGGTTTTTTTTTTTTCGCTTACATGTCACAATTTTCCTGTTGAGAGCACCAATGGAACATCATAACATAGTTTTAAAAGAAACCCCCCAAGATCCTTGCATCTATTACATGAAGAAATAGAAGAAAAGGACAGGAAACTCAGTTAAATTAGAAGCCATATTTAAGTATGGCAAACCTTACTTGGCCTATTTAATGAACAAGTAAGTCTGAACAGATCAGCATTTACAACAGCTTTGTTTTACAGCTCTGCTGTCATTCCACACTACTCTTTACTGGCATGTTGGATGAAAAGTGGCCCTAAAGTGCTGCTTAAAGTGTGTTGTAAAGCAAGTTACATTATGTGCAGACAAGTACATCACCGCAGTTGCCCAATTTAGCTTTGAAATGTATTTGTGCAACTCAGGATTACTGAGACGTGTGACATCCTACACCCTCTAAGAAACATTCAACAACGACATACAATGTGTGTGTGCGTGCGCGCGTGCACACGCACACACACAGTCTGTGGGGTAGCACAGCATTGCCAAAGGCCAGCAGCAGTTCTGGCCGTAGCCAGGCACTCACCTAATGGCATCACGGGTATTCACCAGGGCCTGGTTTTTCACTCTCCAAGTTGTACTTCATGGTGTCTGCAGCAGCTGGAGTCTATTCTTTCCATTTCTAAAGGTTACCAGTGTAGCGCACTGCCTGGGTCTGTGCGTCAGAGCTGTCATTTCAGCCATCTGCAACATGCTGCTGCTTATTTAAACGTTAACTTGTTCACTCCTCAAAACATGCAAGAAAGGAGAGCAAGATGATGAAACAGTTATGTAGAGCTTTGTAAGGCCTTTCTTGCCTACTTCTTCCACAGAGCCATGCAAAAGCATCTCGGGAAAAACACAGTAGTAGGGAAGAAGCTGAATAGTTTCAGTTGCAGATCCTGAACTTACAGTACCTTTTTTTTTTCCCTTAGTGGTGCCCTGGAAGCCTATGTTCAGTCAGTGAGGACAAGAGAGGGGAAGGAGTTTGCCCCTGTCTATCCCATAATGGTTCAGCTGCTGCAGAAAGCGATGACGACCCTTCAGTGAATGTCTCTGGGCAACCCCCTCAGAACAAGGAACAGGCAGTAACACGCTCGTGGCTCTTTGGTGCCCCCCATGTACTTACGGTTCATGTAAATTACTCCCAAATACCCGAGCTTCACAATGAAACGTGGTTACCTACTTCATCTGTGAAACTTGTGTCTTCCCACTTTACATGTGCATTATAGGAACTTACAGTATAAAGGAAACTGTACAACTTTTATGTGCTGTAAGTCTATACTGAATAAAAATGAATCGTTCTTTAGCATTCCTTTTGAATTTAGAAAGGCATAAAATTAGCATATACTCAAATATTATAGTGTAATTGCTGAGTGTGTATCTCAAGGAATTAGCTCTTTTCCTACATGTGTAATTTTAAACAGTTGGATACAGAAAAATCATACTTTTGATGCTAGAATCATCAGTTTCCATCTAAAAATCACTAATTTTAACACAAGGAAAAATATTTATAAATAATGTAACCGATTCTCTGTTGCACTATTTGCTTTGAAATAATTTATATTGATTTCAACTCTCTTTTTTGCTTTGATTGTAATAAAGAACATTGACTATCCACTCCTGAATTCAGCATTCGAAATTCTTTAGCAGCTTCCTAACTGCAAAGCATCAAAATATACTTCCACTGGGTTCACGTAAAGGCTTCTCTGCAGGGCTGACACTGACTAGTTCTCTTCATTTTATAAAATACGCAACATCAAATTTTAATGAATTTATTTGAAATAATATACAAGAATATAGTGTGCAAAAATCTTAGGGGCAACATCATGTAGACGTGTCATAAACTGAAATTTACAGTTGTGATTCTTAAAAAAAAAAAAGAAACACACAGCTGTTTAGTACATGAAAAGCCATGATTGTAAAAGTTCACAGCAGAAGCAATTGTAATCCTAACGCAGCTGCTCTAATTTTAGACAGTTGGAGGGAAAAAAAAAAAGTAAAGTGCAAGTGTTGCACGTATAGTTAAGTGCAAAGTTTGCCCCCACCATAAAGATGTCTTATGGCAAAATAAAATATTGTAGAATATGTGGCAAAGACAAAACACAGAGTTAAAACTATGATGGTGACGATATCAACAGCACCATTTTTCTTGAGATAACGCTATTTATTCGTTTCATCCTGTCCCGGGCCATTGTTTCCACCAGAAAGAACAGCTCCCACTAGTGCCAGCTGGTGCAAAAATATCTCGCTTGTGGATACAAATTTGCTAGGTGGCAACCCAAGCAGCAGCCCCCGTGCGACACGACATCCGCTTCCATCTGCCACATCTTCGGGTAACTGGTCGGCATCCGGGCAGGCTGGGAAGCTACAGGCTGGTAATACGTTTTGCCATTTCAGAAAATCCCAGGCCCCAGAATCGTAATTAATAATATGGTTGTGCAATACATATTAATCAGCAATAAGAATCAATGTATATAAACAGCTGTTACATACTTTAAAATTCCCCTTTTTGTACATTTTCTTTTAAAAATAAACATTTATACATGTCTCCTTCGCCTCTTTCTGAAGTACTTTAGCACCACAGGATATCCATTTTCAAGCCTCTATTACCTGATACATATATGAAGTTTGGAAGAAAAATAAGGCAATTTGGTTTAAAATGTTGATAGTTTTAGCTTACTTAATGTTCTATTGTAAAAAGCAAATCTGCACTCAGATCATTTCTGACATGATGGTGCCAGTATTTTATGGTCACACAAAGTCACAACAAATAGTAAGACCTTGATCTCGCATCTTCTTGCCATCAGGCAACAGCCATTTTGTAAATACACAGTTAATAGGAAAATTCTGGCTTAATGCTGTTGTGAGCCCTGAGAAAAGAGAAGAGAAAACCTGGTTAGCAGTTACCGAGCAAAGGGGAACTAGACATTACCTTAAATCTAGCAAACACTTGTTCTGAAAGCCACAAGTACTTGTACTCATCAGTCAGAAGAAAACAAAAGGCCGAAACATGATTTTATCCCCTGAACATGAAAAGACCATCAAGACTTCTTTGTCACAGCCTGGAGTCCACCATCATTACTCGATAAGGTAACCAAGCTGCAAACAAAACTCCTAGTTCACTGAAAGCAAACAAGAAAGGTATTTCCTGCTGTAACAGGAAATGCTATCTGAGGTAACAGATAGCATTACCTTGCCCTGAAGACCCTAAGGACAAGGAAAATCCGACAACAAGGAGAGTAAGAAAGCCATCCCTCTTACTAAGGCCACCCCACCAGTATTCCTCTGTTACACACAAACACCCCTGAAGAGTCCCTTGAAGCTCACAAGTGCACGCGCAAAGTGAACTCGATCTCACTGTCCAATGCCCCGGACTGCAGCAGTGTAAAACTAAAATAAATAAATAGTATTATTCTAACTGAAGGCACAAAGAAATCTAACAGCAGCGGGGATTTAGTGAAACCCTCTGCAACAAGGGACTGAACTCAGCACCAAGTATGTGCAGCAATCAGAAGCAACTTGGTGTTGGAGCTTTTCTTACTCAGTCTGAGAAACTTTCTCAAAAGTTCGCTTCACTTACACATAAAAGGAAAGGGGGTAATCTGAGGATGAAATCTTAAATCTGTGAAGTTTACAACACTCTTGATGCTCCTACCCAGGCATAAAATCGCTGATGAAAGGATCTGGCATTCTGTCCACCTCAGTGGATCTTTCCTTCCAACCTACTCTTCCAGCTGAACCTACTCTTCTGCAGGTTGGCAGAATCTCGTCTTGAGGTTCTCTTTATACGAAAAATTAACTTGAAAGCCTTTATCTTACCCAATACATCCACCACCTACTAATACACTGCTGCAGACTCTTAAATTGATGGCCTTCTACAAAGTGGAAAACTACTTCCCTACAGAAGAAGTGTTATCTATTGTATTTATTTTACAAGTAAAAGAGAATAATAAATGAAAGGGATTAATGGAAAAAAATTAATTTGCTCCCTCAATAACTTCATATATGCTGATATAAACTATGAGTAAAAAAAAGATAGAAAATGGCAAAGAAAAAGCTTTTACTGAAGAAAAAGGAGACTGAATCACAAGAGAGAAGGATTTTGTGAAAGTTTAGGTGTTTCTGAGGGGAATGGACAGGTGTAATTTAGGCACAACCTTGTAAACTCAGTTACTTCACACAAAAGGTGACGTGCCCTTCCTCTGCACTTCACAGGCAGTCCAACAATTCACAGAACTCTCACAAAATATTCAGACAGACCCTCTCCTGATCTGCCTCCTGCCAACTATCCAAAAGCAGATTATACAACGTGGGAGTCAAATGAGGGTTTGGGCTACCAAGAAAGACGCAGACAGCAGAGTTTATCCTGAACAAAAACCACTGTAGCTACTGTATGAACACGTTTAACTGCATAATGAAAAAAGACTGTTTCACAAACATACAGAATTTGTTCGTTTTCGTTTCCAACAGTCAGGATTTAAACGTTTCTGTTCTTCCGCCAAGGCCTTGGCTTCTAGTGTGTACATCCGTCTTTCTTCATTTTTCATTTTCTTCCACCTGTCACCAAGTATCACACTTATGGCTCTGCAAGATAATGTTTACAGTATGGTCAGGACAGAGTGTTAAGAAATACCTTTATTTTTTTCCTTTTTTATCTCAGCACTTTAAAGAAGACAAAAGTTAAATGTGGAAATAATACACAAAGAAGAAATCAACTCTATCTTTAAAAATACATTTTTTTAAAACAATCATGTTTCTGATTAACTTATCATACTTAACAGTTAAAAAGCTGAGACTTCTGTGCTAGCTGAGCATGGGTCAATGCACATTCTAACATTTCAAAGGGTGTACATTTGAATACGCAACAACTCGCACAAACCAGCAAAACAGGGATGTTAAAAACCACCACCAAATGGTAACTCACATTTGTTTTGCTCTATTTTCATGCTAGAAGATCATATGACAGATTTGCTGAAAATATGTTCTCTAATAATTAGGGCAATGATCTGAACATGACCTCAGCTAAACAAATATTTGATTAACTGCAAACCCCTATGTCTATTTAAGAGCTGTGTGTAGCTTCCTCCACCTTTTATGCATACTGGGGAGAACACGAGTAGGTGGAACATACTGGTAAGTTCCCGTTCCTATGCAAAAGGAACCATTTGTTCTACCACACCTATCGCCATTTCCAGAAGCTGAATGAATTGCTTTTCCTGCTCCTTATAAACTTGCTGTCTTTTGGATAGTATTCCCCCACATTATCATGCCATATTGCTTAACTGCACTCCCAAATCCTGGATCAATATTCCATTAAAGCTTTAACTCCATCCTTTAGCTGCATGAAGATCTCTTAACAACAGCTCTTTTATCAATGACAGTTACTAAACTACTGAGTAGGTACACTTTGGCTTCAGGTTACAGTGATGCAAGTTCTATGACCAGCTTTAAGAAAAAGGTAGTTAAGTACTTTGCTTTATCATATTAAAAAGTTCCTTGCTGGCAGCAAAGCTATTCATAGACTTTCTAAGAGAATCAAGAGCAGAGTGTCATCAACCACTTCCATGGCATTTCACATACAGCAATTCTGAAGGACAGTTTTCTGCACCATACCAAGAAAATGGATTTTAATCCTGCAAGGCCCTGTAGTATCGTTCAGGCTTTGAGGAGGTGCAGAGCACTGGGAGCACAGCAAGGACTCCGCTGGGGCTGCCGTTATGCCTATGCTGTCACACACTCCAGTGACTTCGCAGAGCAAACTCCTCGAGTTGCAACCAGATCCCATCAGCATCAAATCCATTTGCACAGCCTCTTTAGCAATGGAATTTCTGGTTTTCTATCCAAATTAAGAACCAGTATCTTTGGTCTGTCATCAGAAGCAACATACTCCAGTTTAATTAGCTGATTTTTCATCTTTTGGCAGTATCCAGAGGCAAGCCAACAGCACCAGACACCTGTCTGGTTTTGATCACCAGTTTGTACTGGGTCAGTCATACCCCCAGGAAAGAACATAGTGACCCAGAAAGAGAAGGTTTGCTGAAAAAGCCGTTGCACTTCCAAATAAAAATATACTCTGCAATCTTTGCACTTCAAATGCAAAAAATATGTATGTATTTTATACCTCCAGAGACAAAACTGCACTGTGGCACTACAAGTGAGTACAGATCTGTACATTTTAAAAAGCTTGAAAAGTCTAATGCAGAGACAAATGCTCCATTTCTCCATCGAAGTATTTCTATGAGTGAACCACTGGGACTGAAAAAAGATGCGTACAGCGAAATTTCCTGACACAACAGAAACCTAATTCTCCTGACCAGAAACAAATAAGAGAAAACTGACCCTAATGCATGACTGCCTTAAGCACCCTGCACCTCATCAGACCTTCGCAGTGCTCTGTGCACTGCCTTTGTCCTCTTAAAATACTGGCAAGATAGTATACCAAATACCAACAACATTTTAGCAATAAACTAATGCACAGGATGCAATCCCTTACACTGCAGTTAATTCAAAAGAAATTGTCACACAGTAGTTGAGAATGCCTCAAGTTTATGCAGTAATTATGTTCAGCATGAACAAATGCTGTTGAGTTTCTCCATCTTTAGAACATACACTACTCAAACTAGTCAAGTATTTCTGAATGCACAATCAAGTCCAACTATGGTTACAGTGAGAGTACCTAGAAAAGAAACAAGCTCTACCCTAACCCCAGTTTCTCAAGTACGGAATTACAGTCCACAGTATTTTTAAGTATCATGTGAACGCTGACTTCTGTTTTGAATGCTTAAGCTCGCTGTCTTGTTGATATGGCTTGAGCTACTTTGTCTCAGAACAGACCGCTTACCTCAGAATACCTCAACTTCTGTCCTTTCTTTCATGCATAAGAGAAATAAAGTAACTGTAGCAAACATAAGAACGGCAGTGTATTAAATAGGTACTACATGTAACCAACCCTAAGATCTACTTTGTAATCTGAACATGACATATACTTACATTTAAAAAACATGTCAGTTGCCCTGAACAGCTAAATTTCTAGATACCCCAGCCACACTGAATGGCTGTATGCCTATAACATCGATTATCGTTACCTCTTATGATTTCTTCTGTACTATATTTTATGGATGCCAAGAAACTGCATCCACATGCACCACCTTCCAAATGGGACAGTGAGTGGTGCACTCTGAAGCTTACTTGTAACTTTGTCATTACTTTCCTTCAAGGTAAACCTGTTCACTGAACCTTCAACTTATTTTCACATCCATCCAGCTGCAGCTCCAGTTCACAGCATCAATTTGAAATCAGCATTTTAAATTAAATATATAACCATCATAAACTTTCCTAGCTGACATTCTGTTCGATTTCTCATTGATAGTTGCAATGAATTGGAAGGCAGGAGATCTGCTTCACTGAACACTGCAGAACATCAGTGCCAGGACACACAAGACTGGCTGGGATTTAAGGGTGGGTTATTTGTATGATAGGATTTTATTTCTCAACACCAGTTACAGCCTCCTTACTAAAACATTATGAAATAGCCAAAACCCTCTCAAACACCTGTCACCTTTAGTTTTTACCAGATTTAGTACTAGAATTTTTATGTGACAATGCATTTTTTACAGTAACAGTTTTCTGTTACGTAAATATAACGTTATATACATTATATATGTATATATAACGTTATATACATTAAAAATCCAATTATAAGATCAATGCATGTTGATGTGTTTTAGTTTATATTTATGTATGCACATTAGCACAAAATATTATTTGAAATATATGTAATGGACATCTTTATAAAAAAGCCAAAAGTGTAGACATTAACGTGCATATAGATAAAAGCAAAAGAATAAAACCAACAAAGAACCCTCCCCCAAACACACAGTCATACGACTCTTCCTGCAAGTTCCAGCAGATTGTTCAACGCCTTTAGGACAAGCAAATTCAGACATCCTAACAATCAGTAGTCTACTATTTAATATGATATCCAGATTGAGAATGAATTATAGTAACTTCACTGAACAATCTGGAATATTATGTCAAGACTTAATTAGAAGAACCAGAAATTCCCTTTTTCCATTACAATGCACGAGCAGAGAGCCTGGTACTTTTTCCCCTCAAACATCTCTCATCAGCGTAAACAAAGACTGTTGTGTATTTGTGGCTCTGCTGGTGCACATATATATATATGTCTATATATAAAACGCTTTCCTAGAAGGTAAGTTTGCAAAAAATTGCTTTTGTCAAATTTACTCAGCACTGTAAATATTTAAAGTCTGCCCAGAAATTAAACTTTGCTTCAGCATCTTTCAAAACTTGTTCTTAAAACAATGTACACACGTTTTATTTCAAATGCAAAATGCAGTGCACTTAAATTTAAAGGTGGGACACAGATATTCTGCTAGCTCACCAGTAATAACAAAACTAGAATGGTCTACCATTACCTGTTGTCTTTCCCTGGATACATCTGAGTATATTCAACTCTGTATTTTTTGGCAAAAAGCATGAAGGCATTCATTGGTCTTTTGCACTTGTTCGGAGAAGTGGCACTCACAGTACTTGCAGTCCCTGAGCTGTGGCTTTTGCCAGCTTTGCTGTACAAGGAATTGGAGGAAAGATGTGATGATGCAGTAGAGGCACAGTTTTTACTACTGCATTCTGATCTCTCAGCATCTTGATTGTTTGATCCTCCACAAGATAGAGAAGCGCGACGCTGGCGAGCCATGCTGCTTAGCACATAAACTGCAGAGGAATCCATTGGTGTAAAATCGTAACTACAAGAAAAAGACATACCATAAAATGATCAAGTAATTTTCATGTAAAATCCCTAAATAGCTGTTCACTCTTCATCTCTACTACATTTCTAGTATTCTGGTCTCTTTTGTGTGGCATAATGATTTGTGCTTGATGCAGATGTCATGGGGAAAAAAAACACAACAAAACTTTGGCAGATGAATGAACGGTTTTTTCAATGTGACGGTGGACTGCAACTTTGCAAAATCTGCTGTGTACTATCAAGTCCCCAGCTGTACAGAAATTAATTATACACCGTCTTCAAATTTCATCCTCTTTTGAAATAAGCTTCTGTTTCTATCCTTACCATAAATCAAATCTGGTCAGTGAATGATAGGTACTGAAAATGACAACTGATGTAGGAAGAATAAGTGTTGAGTTCACTTGCAAATATGTATCAATTTAAAATATGAAACCACTATATTAAAATAAATTATATTGTACACACTGCTGTATACATAACTTTTCTAGGCAGCTAAATACATATTATTTTAGAGACAAACCTTCCACTGAGACTAAAAAAATTGTTTAAAGACCCGTGACGCTGCATACTATTTGATTCAAAGCTAACAAACGTCTGCCCTCTAGTGACAAAAATGCGAGATTCCTCGGTATTTCAAGGTACTTCAACAGCTTAGATCAGTTGTTTCCATAAAATTTAGACCTCCAAATACTACCAACTGTTGTAATTTTTTGTTGACCAACAACTACAATTGACCTCTAACCACTACAGAAGAAGTTTAATTCCACAGACTATTTGTTATCCTCTCCAGGTGTGTGCAGATCAGTCTGGGAACCACAGGCTATTACGTCTTTAGCACACTACATGGGGAAAACACACTTGTGAAACTGCTACTCAATCATAAATCTAGAACACTAAGTCACCACCACAAAATAACCATAAAATGTACGTAACTCTAAGGCTCCGCTCACCCACTGCTCAATGCAGCTTTAGTTGCGTTAATTTATGGCAAAAATAAGGCTTTGAAGAACTTTTTTCTGAACACAAAGTAGAACTACTAGCCAGGAAACAGAGCCAGTGGTAGTCCAGCCCCCATCTAGAAGGCAGCCCCTTTCTGTGGAATGGAACCAAAAAGCAAGGATGAAGCCTGAAGGGTTGTCTCCAAAATCCCTCAGAAAAAGTAAAAAGCAGCAAAGGAGGGATAATACCGACAACCTTGCAGGCTAGCTCCCAAGATAAGGAGAAAGGACCTCTCTGTTCTACAAACAGTCTAGCACCCTTCTTATTCCTAATCTCCTTCCCATAACACAGCAACAGGATTTTTTCAATTCTTCTGTCCCGTTAACCACAGCTGCTGCTGCATGCTCCTTTCTCAGTGATATACTCCTTTCTGCCCAGAGACACAAGCAATTTGAAGTGTGCAGGCAGCATTCAGCTGGGCTGCAGGATGAATAAGGAGCCACAAGTTCAATTTCTTCAGGGAGATGTAAATACAGTAATTCTAACAGCTCTCTACATATGCAGGTCAGAATAGGAGTTAATAAGAAAAAAATCCCAGACAGCAAATGAGTGAGGACAAGCAATTTGAACTCACTCTCTATCCCAGACTGAAATCATAGAAGAGCTCCTAAGATTTGAACTCCAAGCAGCCTTTTAAATTTTTTTTCTACTGTAAAAAACCCAAAAAACAACTAGACTAAAAACAGATTCTAAAAAGGAGCTAACATCATAGGAGAAGATGGATTCTACTAAACCTAGAAATCCCAAAATAGTATGGAAAAATCTTTATGGGTAATACTATTTCCTTAGAATCTTAGAATAATTTATGTTGGACAGGACCTCTGAAGGTTATCTGGTCAAACCTCTTGCTCAAAGCAAGGCAAACTTCAAAGTTAATCTAACTTAGAAGTTAGATAAGTTTGATGTATTAGAAAACAATAAAAAAGCAGAATATACAAAAATAATAACTAATTATGAAAGTACTGTATTCTAAAGCCACAGCACATGCATTAACTACTAAGAAACCACTCAGATAATTCAGATACATAGCTGCATATGAAGCACAAGTTAACAGCTGTCAGACATACTATTGTGGGAAAACTGTACTAGGTTTTTCAAACATAACCCACTTTACCTGGAGAATTTATACAGATTACATAATATATTAACTGCTTTATCTAATCTGGCTTAAACTATCATAAACAGGGGCTGAAAAGTTATTTCACTCCAAGATATTACTTTGCAGTTTTCCCTCTCATTTATCTTGTATTACCAAAAGTATTCTCTCTTTGCTCTACATGCTGCTTCAAATTCTTGTAGACTTAAGGTGCCTACTCATTAAATACAAAAACCACTGAGGCCACTTTATCCAAAAATTACCTTTTAAATGTATCAAAAACACCTGAATCATCAAAGTTAATGGCATCAGGGTGTCCAGGAGGTAGACACAGATCTCCAAGATGCATTTCACAGCATGGAATGCCATGCTGTACCACAGTCAAGCTTGGATAAAAAGATGACCAACCTGAAGTGGTAAAGAGTTAAATTAGACAAACGGCCAGACAATCTCTCTAGTTCTTAACTGGAGCAATCCTACAGCTCTAAATGATATCATTTTATAAAGATGTTCTGATGTAGTTTCTTTCACCCAAAGGAAAAATCAGCAACTTATTCAGGGAATTCTTACTGTAAATAGTTTATTTTTATCTCAAGTAAAATCTCATTCTAGCAAAAAAAAGTAATCAAAACCTGGAAACTTTTATCATCAGAAGTTCCATGTTTAGCAAGTGAGAAAAGCCTCCCGTATTTGCAGCTTTCCTTTCTCCCCCCCATTTTTCTGTTTTCCTGAGATCCATTTATATAATTCACTAAATCCTTATGAGATACGCAGTATTTCTGTAGCTTTACAGTTTTGTTTGTCCAAATTCTGGATTTCTCTACAAAGATAGTAAATTGATTCTACAACACCACTTTTATCAATTTCTTGAGCAACATGGGACACCAATAAGACCTGCAACCACTTTCTAACAATATTTAACATACAACCAAGTATACTTGTAGTATTTCATACCTTTATTTTTAACATAAAAAGGGTGATCGAGTCTGCATTCTACTGTAAGCAAGCCATCCTCCACTGTGCCAGGATCAAAAGTCAACTTCAGCACTGACTCACCAAAGGAAATGCTTTCTTCATGAGAAATCAACTTTAAACCATCAGAACCATAGCCCTGTAAACATACATACAGTTCAAAAATCTTCCCCCAAGAAAAGCATATACCTGTGTACGCTCTAGGTGAATATTCATCACCTTATGTTAAAAAAACACCAACATTCTAAGTGCTCTTGCCAGAAATTAATAAAGACAATATAACATTCAAAACACCTGAATGAATTCAGTTCAATTGCTTTATAGCAAGATACTCAAATAGTACAGTGATCAGCTCTAGACAAGTTTAGTATAAACCTGTCTTCATGAGACAGTAATTAAAGGTACAAGGATAACACAAGAAACTAAGTATTTGCTACAGATATTGAAACTAATATTAGAACAGCTACCTTGTAAGGACTCACTGGGAGATTTTCCTCTTTTCCACAGCTTTCAGACCTTGCAAAATCTTCAACATCCTGCCACTCTTTATTGCGTCCTTTATGAAAGCACAAACGAGAGCCTAATAGATTTTTTCAAGGAAAAAAAAGATTAGTGATACATAAAAAGTCTGCGTCACAAAAAAAAAGACAAGACAAAACAAATACTTACTCGATGAGACATGTTATTTTACCTTTTAGAAAACAATGCCAAACAGTTGAGGGCCAGGAATGGCACCATCCCAAATCATCATCATCTGAAAGTGATGACATGCAGAAAATGCCAGATTCTGATTCACTATTCGCCTATTAAAAAAAGCAAAATGGTGTTGATATTTTACTGTGGAAGATTTTAGGGCTGGTCTTCTATGTTTTTAGACAAATTCTGTAATTTGCATGTGCCATCATTTTGCTTAAATACTAATAGGAATGTAACATGAAGACAATGATTCAAGGAATGCAGTAAAAGTGAATGGAGTATTTTTATCTCTTTTTCTTAAAATGTGCCACCCTGAAATTTTTGGGTTTCATTCTCTGAGATTCATTTGCACATCTACGGATTATCTTATGCTTAGGTACAAGCATTTTACAAGCTGTCATTCCTTGGCCATCCACAGAACCCACTCAAAGCACACGTTACTCTACAGTCAAATTACTGGAAAGCTGTAGGGCCAAGTCGGTTCTAGAGAAATTACTGGGAAAAACTCAATGTCTTTAACAGACAAGTTTCAGACATAAATTAATACACAGGAAAGGGAGAAGCAGGACTGACAGTTTTTGTGCGTCTAAAAGGAGATGGTTCTGTATTTCCTTTTTGAGGAAGCAAACAAGTTAATACAATTTTTTAAAGCTTGCTATAGAAAGAACTACAAGAGAAGCAGAGCTTTCTTAGAACGTGATCACTTCACAAAGCTGTGGACTCTCTGATGTAGCACTACAAGCCTACTGTGTTAGGTAAAAAGTAATAGAAACTCTAGCTTAAATGGAAATGGTATTTGAACTAAACCGATGATTTTTTTAAACTAGTTTCTCTTTTCAAAAAGCTTAATCCATTACTCATGCATCTTTATTTATTCTAGAAATGTTTCAGAACAACTCACCCTTTCATGTCTGACTGGCGTTTCATCCAAATCATTCTTGAAGTTAGGATCATTCTTTGCGGATCCTGGTGGAGGACGTGCATAGGAATGTAAACTTTTGCTTGTAGCTATTATGTGAACAGGAGATGATCTACAATAGAAAAACGTATTTTAAAATATCTCAGATTAAGACAACATAAGACTTAGCTGCCATTACTCTAAAATGCTTTTATTTAACAAATATTTCTGTCTGCATGAACCGAATACCAAATAAACTTCCCAGACACCAGTACTCAAATGAGATGATTAAAGGGTGCAAGCCCAGACAAAGGCAGTATTTAGCATAACTCCTTCATAGCTTCTATGTACCACCCAAATGACAGTACTACCTCCACATCAGCATCTCCCTGTCACAATGCTTAAGTTTTTACAAATATCTTGAAGTGAACACCCCATTCTTAAAGACATCTGCTCTGTTGTAATGATTAAATCCCAACTGCATGACTGTTAACAGTATTGCATTTAATTTTCTTATTATAAAGCTAAGAACAAAGCTGTACAATGAAAGGTGAAGCCCCTAAGTTTCTAAGATCCCACACTGCTTCTCACAGCCTTAAGGAATTTACAAATCACAAATCTCAAACAGTATCAATAAAAAAAATACATTATTGCATTAGATTTCCAATTGGCTCTTAAAAAAGTCAGTGCACTAGTAAATATTAAGAATTTAAAGTAAGAAATTCATCTTAATTTTTCATCTGCTGCTTCACATGAGGTAAATGCCCATAATTTCTGAGCCTTCTGCGGTTAGGCAATGTTCTTGTACCATCCTACCTTATGGTAGGCTGGCAATTACGCAGCTTTTGCAACAGGCTCAGTAACGAGTCCTGTGCAATCTTCCACAGACAAAGTTACTATGTAAAAAGATCAAAAATAGGGCTCCAGTTCAAAGTCAAAGGGTGTGAAGCATGAAGGAAATGTTTCTGAAGACATAATATTACAAATCTTAAGAGTTCACAATTGAAATGAATGTCAGTACCTGTTATAAAAAGAGCACTGCATCAAAGGACTCTGAGGACTTGTGGCTATATTTGCTAATTCTGTCAACCAGTTCACCCCATTCTCACAAGAATAAGCATTTTCTGAATTGCTGTTTGAGGTATGTTGGTTCCATGAAGGCCTTGAACATTCCTGATGCGAAACATCGGCACCAAGCTGAAAAAGCGCAGGTGGGGTAGCATCTGTCTGTACAGCCTGTAGTTCAGGAAGATCATCTACAACAAATGCACAAGTTACCATAATTGCACTCATTGATACATTCTAGTTTTATTTGCAAATCTTGCAAATAAAAAGGAACTACAATGAAGTAACTAACTTTTATTTTCTCGTATCACAATTACCAACATTTCACAAACCCTATTCATAATACTAACAAAATGGCCACAGAAATAATCACATCTCTAGTCTATTATACATTCATACAAACAATTTAAGAAAAACATTAAGTAACTAGGTAAAAATGTAGTTCTGGTTTAAAAGTTTTTACTAGACTGACTAGTTTACACAGAACTGTACTGCATAATTATGCAAAAGTAGCAACATGATTCACTAAAATACTAAAACATTCAACAAAAGCCAACTAAATTAATCTGTCCTAGCAGATGTGACACTAAAAATTATCAACATCAAGGGCTGTACAAGGTAAAAGTTTTCCATGTTTCCACCAGGGAACTGGAATTACATAACTCAGAAGTTGTTAAAGCTGGGTATACAGCCTGGTAGGGGTGAACTCAATCCCAGGTTGGATGAGGCTTTGGGCAACATGGTCTAGTGGAGGATGTCCCTGCCCGCAGCAGGGGGGTTGGAACTAGATGATCTTTGAGGTCCCTTCCAACCCAAACCATTCTATGATTCTATATATGTTTCACATGTTATATAGAATAGCAGAAGAGAGCCCAGCATGCTAACAAAAGTCTATGTTACATGCTCTCATGTTAACTAAGTATTGTTATTCTTAATCACTCTGTAACTTCAATTAAATGTGTTAATATTTCATTGATTATATCAATAGTTTCTAATGTACATGCTATTTTTCTCCAATATAAGAACTGAAGTTAAATGTTCCTCTAGCCCAGAATCTCTATTTGTAGCTGATCTAAAGGAGCACGATTTCCCTTTAGGAGGAGCTCTTGCGCTGTTTGTTATTTTTGTGCCAAAAAAAGCTCCTCTGGGAATTAGGAACAGAAATTTGTAGCTCAGAGTTCAAGAACACATTTAAGTCAACAGGCCAGTGTGTCAGAAAATGGGTTACAGGGAAATGTGACTGCAAAGACCTTCAGATGTCACAATTCACTGTCATATTCCCCGCCCTACTTAAAAATCAGTAATCTCATTCAGTCAGCTTCCAGTAATTTCACTATAGGAAAACTACAACACACTTCAGAATTTGGCTGCTTCTGAAAAAGTCATGTTATTTACCAAGTTCCATGTGTTCATCACAGGATGCATATCCAGGAGAAGAGGGCAGGTTTTCATTACACTTCAGCAACTCCAGTGAGTCATTCATTCCTGAAGTTCTCTTGTCCACTACCAGAAGGAGTTTCTGAACTGCATTAGGCATTTGATTTGTCTTCACTTCCCACACCATGTTAGGATGCTCCAAAGTATCTGACTTTAAGAGAGACAGAGGTTAAAAATTTGTATACGCATAAACTGTTTTAATTTGCATCTGACAGGCTACGTCATTACCAGAACCCTAAAACCTCCATAACTTGCTGAGAATCACAACATAATTTAGCTTGAAAAGGACCTCTAGAGATGACCTGGTACAATCCCAGCAGAAAACAGAGCCAACTTTGAAGTCAGACGAGGCTGCCTGGGGCCCTGGCCGCTTAAGTCTCTAGTATCTTGAAGGATGGAGATTCTCTGACACTTCTCAGGAACCTGTTCCAGTGACCACTCCTGCTGTAAACAAGTCATTCCTTACGCACGTTTGAACTTCCCTTGCCACGGCCTGTGCCCATTGCTCCAAGAGTCTGGGGTCATCTCCTCAACCACCGCTCAAGCCAAGGTAAACAACATTCACTTGGTATCCTGAGACACGCATCCTGTCACAGAAGACAGATGGGTCAGAGGAAGATTTGCCTTTGGATGATCCGTCCAGGCTATTCCCAGTTACTTTCTTGCCTTACAAGAGCCAGAACATGGCTGTCAGGAGGATCTGCTCCACAGTCTTCCTGAAGGCTAAGGGTAGGCTGACCAGCCTGTAGTTTCCCCACATCCTTCTCCTTGAAGCTAGGTGTGACATTTTCTTTTTTCCAGTTTTTGGGAGCCCTCCTGCCACCAAACTGACCGCCTTTTGGAGATGATCCTTCACAATGACACTGGCCAGCTCCTCCTGATGCATCCCAGACGGTCTCACCAACTTGTGTGTGACTGGCTCACAGAACTGGCCTACCCCTAACTTGCTCTTCCTCTACTGCAGACAAAGAAGTACCTCGCCCTGTCAGATGTATGTTGCTAGGCCCAGGGACTCAAAGAACCTGGAAACAAGCTGTCGTGGTTTAACCCAGCAGTCAGCTAAAACAACCACACAGCCGTTCACTTACTCCCACACACACACCAGAAGGATGGGGGAGAGAATTGAAAAGAAAAAGTTAAAACTCATGGGTTGAGATAAAGACAGTTTAATAAGACAGAAAAGAAAGATTGCTAGTAACAACAACAACAAAAGAACATACAAAACAAGTGATGCAGCACAACTGCTCACCACCCAGAACCAATGCTCAGCTGGTTCCTAGGCCGCTCCCCTCGCAGCCAACTCCCCCAGTTATATACGGAACATGACGTCATGTGGTATGGAATATCCCTTTAGCCTGCTGGGGTCAGCTGTCCTGGCTGTGTCCCCTCCCAGCTTCTTGGATGCTCCCTTTCTTCTCGTTCGCCGGCCAGTGCGCCTGCCTTCTCGTTGGCAGGCCAGTACGAGAAGCTGAAAAGTCCTTGACTGCTTGGCAACAACTAAAATATCAGTGTGTTATCGACATTATTATCATCCTAAATCCAAAACACAGCACTGTACCAGCCGCTATAAATAAAATTAACTCTATACCAGCCAAAACCAGGACACAGACCTTGCAAATAATGACCAAAGCAAAAAAAATGCCATCCTCAGTCTTTGACATTAGGTCTCCTATGCCATTTAGCATCAGGCCCACATTTTCCCTAGTCACCCTTTAACCATTGGCTTATCTGCAGAAGCCTTTTTCACTCCCCTTCACATCCCTTGCTGTATCAACTCTAGGTATAATCTCCAAACACATTTGACTGCTAACATCCTTAACTGTGTTTTAAATGGAAAGAAAAGGAAGCCTCTACCAGTAGATTTCACTGCAGTTTCATTTCCCCAAATCCCAGTACTGTAACATTTATACCAAAAGAAATATTTTAAATCATCTTCAGCAGAGAACTGTGCTATTATTCTACACAATCACTGCCTCTAAAAGCTGGAAAACAAGGTTATGCAGTCTTTAGTAATTTGGTTATCTACTGTTTTTTTCAAATGATGATGAATTACAGCTACTATAACATGATTACCTTGTACTTTAATGAAGTGTCATTGAAAAAGTAATTGTGAGTCCCTCACAAAAGAGCAGAAAGCACAGCTTAGTAAGAAAGAAAATCTGAAAAGTCTACCACATGCATGTCCACTAAGCTATCATGCACCATATTAAATACAAACAATAGCTAAAAACAGTCTAATATTTTCACATGAAACAGTAAGCCTATCATATGGGTTTAAGCTGAAGGAGGGTCGACTTAGATTAGATGTTAGAAAGAAATTCTTTACTGTTAGAGTGATGAGGCACTGGAACAGGTTGCCCAGAGAAGCTGTGGATGCCCCCTCCCTGGAAGTGTTTAAGACCAGGTTGGATGGGGCTTTGGGAAACCTGGTCTAGTGGAGGGGTGCCCTGGCCACAGCAGGGGGGCTGGAACTAGATGATCTTTGAGGTCCCTTCCAACCCAACCCATTCTATGATTCTATGATCCCTGAAGTTCCGTTAGTGCAATGCATAAAAAGCCATCCGAAAAGTTATGGGGAAAAAAAAGCTTTATTTTAATAAACAGTTAAAAGGTATTGTTTGTATATATGTATAAATATTCCATGTTTTCATTCACTCTATAGATCTGTTTCATTCATTTTGCAGCTTGTCCCGTACATAATATAGTTCAGACATAAGCCTTTGAATTACATACTGGCCCTACCAGAAGAGCCCTGACCTAATCAGTATTTTACTGGAAAATTTCAAACCTCCTCACCTCCTCAACTTTCAAATACATGCAAAACTTATAAAAACTTGCATTCCAAACATAAAAAAATATGTTTGATTCTACTTAAATAGCACTACTACAAAAGCCACAACAGTGTAATTCTGATTTTAAAGAGGTGGGGAGGGAAGGTAAAAGAAAGGAGAATACACAATCAAATAAACTACTGATAGCCTGTGTATTTCACCTCTAAGAAGCATCTTTAGCACAAATGATTCCTCTGTCATTCAAGAGGCACAGTAAAATTACAGAACACCACAAGAGCAGAAAGCTCAGTCATTTCTGAACAGAAAAAGCAGACCTCAGTAGTACAGGTCAGGACCTCAACGATTATCTCCAAGTAATCAACCCTGAAAAGCCACTCCTTGTTTTTCTGGCTTGTCTATGTCCTTCCTTTCCCCCCCTTCTGCCTTGTTTTCCCCTGTATTCTTCCCTCTCTTCCTTTCTCATTTTCCTGCCAAAATGAACAAGCTAATTTATTTTGGGAATGTTACCTTCTCCTTCCTTCCTGCCAGCTGCCAAGATTTGTAAGTACCTGTTCTGGTATCCCAACACGCTGAAGGTCAGAGATAAGGTATATATACAACACGCAAGTCTGACAAGAAAAATACTTATTTGAGAAATGAATTGTTGTTCTAAGTCACAAGAATTTTTCTAAACCAAAGCCACCCGCATACAAAAGCCAAAAAATTCTCTAACAAATGAATTAAAAAGAAAAACAAAAAAAGTGCCCAACTTTAAATTTTTTTATTCTACTTGATGAAAGCCTGCTTTGGACATCATGTGGTTCTCCTGTCCTCAGCCTTTCAATGTTTTGGAATGTTAAGGGGAATGGTCATTAATTAGCTTGTAAATATTTATCTTTTTTAATTCAACTTCATTTTCAAAACTTGTTGCGACAGATATTTTCTAGAAGTAAGCTTCACAGGACTGTAATTACTGCCACTTTCTTTAGAGGCTAAATGAATTTATTTATGAATTTGTGCTTTAAAATAAATTCAACTTGTGACGCTAAAACAAATGGCAATATTAACAAAGAGTTTATTACGCCACACGTATTTTTGAGGGACAAAAATAAATTTGGGACAAAAGTAAAT